CATATAAACTTTTAGATTTTTTTATAGATACTTATTTTTGTATTTTTACAAATTTCTTTGTTATATTAAATAAACATCAATTTTTTTTTATAAATATTTATGTTTACGTTTATAAAATTCATTATATTTAATTTATTATTTTCAGTTTTCTTAATCAAAATTATCAATAATTACATATATTTAATTTTATGCATAAAACATTTAATTTCTTAGAAATTAGAGAATTAATTACTTTTACTAATTTTTTCCTTAAAATTCGTATTGTTCTTAAATACTCTACCAAAGTTCTTTCTCTAATTAATTATAATAACTTTATTTTTAACATTAAGGTATTTTTTATTTATCATAATATCTTTATATATATATATATATATATAATACGTGTACTTTTTGACATTTATATATTTTTAATAAAATATTACATATGTAAATTATATTTTTGTTAAAACATACATCATAATTAATCTAATCTTTATAAGTGTATTACATTTGATTAGTTTTATAATTATGCAAAATTTTCAATTTTTATGTCTTCATCTTTATAATAATATATTTTGATGTTTCATTATATTTGTGTATTATACGAGTTACTAATTAAACTAGTTTATTAAATTTATGTGTCAAAGAATTTACTTTACCAAAAGATAAAGTGTTAATAATTCTCATTTTTAGATATCATATAAAATTTGCAATAATTCTATAAATAAGTCTTTTTAAGATATGCTTGAACTATGTTTTTTTTTTTTTTGTCTTTTTAGTATTACTAGTAATATTTATTTAAAATCTCTTTCAAGAAGTATGATCTTTTATTTTTAAATGGCTTTAATATTTTGTTAGAATATTTATAATTAAGAATACTGTTGAGGGACTTATCAAAAGTGTCAAAAATTAATTTATTTATTATTGATACTTATCTCAAATAATGAGATTTATTTACATGATTAATTTAGTGAGTTGGATGTTTTTCATTTTTGAGCATGTTCTTCAAAAACATTAATAACTATAAAATTTTAAAACATGAATAAATGAAATATAAATCAAATCTTGTATATAATATTTTATTAAAATATTCATTAAAATAATTTTTAAAATTTTATTTTTATAGTTTTTTTTATGGCAAATGAAAATTTAATTTTAAGGATGTTAATATTAATATTAAATTTAAATTATATTGATATAATAAAATATATAATTTGATTTAAAATTTTTAGAGCTTTATTTTAAAATATAAAAATTTTATATCACGTGTAAATACAAAATTTATTAACAATATACACACATAATCTTATTGAAAGTTTTCAGACTTAGGAGATACATAAATTTAAAATATTTATAGCAACATTATATATTTGTTTTAATCTTTTTTTGTTTTTGTTCTTTAAAGGAGCTAAATAGTCGACAAAATAAAACTAGCTACCTAATTTACGATTACAAACACCTAAAGAGTCTAATTTAAGAAAATATAATAAAAAAAGAAGATCCTTATCAAAGTATGAAACAACTTCAACAGAATCTAAGTCTATCATGACAAGCATATCAACACACATTTTCTTTTCTTAAAATGTGCCTAAAACCTAATAAAAGGAATGCTTTTCAAAAATATCCCTAATTGCAGTTATCAAATTGAAAGAAGAGTGATTATAACTTTGAATACTCAATACTTATTACAAAGCTTTCTTAGAATTTGATTCAATTCAAATAACTTAAATATTCTTATGTCCAAAGAGAAATCCTCAAAATTCAGTATTTAAAAAGAAAAAAAATTTAAGTCTCATGTAGAATCTAACAATAACCTTTTCATGAATGTCTCTAATTAAATCTTCACATCCAGCCCTTTCAATAACTTGAAATGTTGTTCCATCTACAATCAATTTAAGGTAACTCTTGAGAAAGGAATACTATCTTCCTTGGATTTGGATATCCAATACATTTTTAGTCCTCTTAACTTTACCCATGAAACAACAATTCAATTATTCAAAATCATAACATATTTTATGATATAAAAAGACAGGAGTGAGTTGAGTGAGAACTTTAAATTTGAAAAATGAAATTATTTTTTTTCTTTCAAGAATAACATCTTTAATCTTTTAATACTTTCAAACATATAAGATATAGCAGAGTTTATAAATTAACAAGACATGTATAATTTTAAAAGTATTTAATTAAATTAATAACGAAAATCAATGACATCCATTGTGTCACGAGAGATAGTAATACTGTTTTTTTTTTTTTTTTTTTCAATGCCAATATTGTCCTGGTGCCTCCACGTTTCCAATTCTTTATAAAAATGGGTCATGTAGTGTGGACATGTGAAGAGCGCGAGGTCTTATGCAAAACAATTATTTATATCAATTTAATAATATAATAAATGGTAAAAAATTGATAAATAAAAATATTTTTTCATTTACATTATGATTATTTATTTAAATATTACCAATAATTTTTGAACTATAAATTGGGCTAATAGATTACTGTATACAATTTAATTCAATTTATATGTCTTGATGTTTACTGAATCACTTAATACTCATGCTAATTTTATAATTATATTAACACACATATTCAATTCAATTTATTTATTTAAATATTTATAGGATTAGTAGTTATATTAATTTTGTAAATATGATAATACACATTGTAAAATAATTTAATAACAGACAAGAAAAGGAGTATTAATAAAAAATAATTAAAATATTATGTAATTAATTTAGTGTATTTGAAATTAAACAAATATAAATTAAAAATAAATTTTTGATGTTGCTTTTCTTTTTTTTCCATTTCACAAGAGAATAGAAGAAAGTAAAAACCTTCTTCAACATTCAAAAATTTGTACTAAAAAATATTTTAATAATAATATTATCTTGGCAAATTTATACTAAGTATGGTTTCAACAAGAACTAATAAGGAGGCACAAGTGGTGAATAATAGATGATTTGAGATGAGTTAATGGACGTAAGAAATTATTTGGAGAAGACAATTATTTTTATGAGAAGATGATTTACAATAATAATTGTGGGATATATGGAGAATAAAGATCGAGAAAAAATATGAAAGACGTGCTGATGTGAAAGTGTGATGGTAATAAGAAATATAGTATGCAATCCATTTATCACTATATTTAGCATTTCTTTACTGCAAGTAGCAATTTGAAATTGTGTCTAATGCAGGCCTTATGTAAAATTTGGAAAGTTGGTGCGTGAGGAAGGTAGTAATATTCGTGTGACATCTGCTGCTTAATGCAATTTTAGTGTGGAAGAATTTGACCAAAGTAGATTAATTATTTCCTTAGAAGCTTGTGGATTATATGATACCGAAGATGAAAACATATTGCATCTTTTTTTGCATTGTAGTATCTCTATAAAATTATAGTACAGGATGTTTGAATGATTTAGTGTCAATTTATGCTTACTTGAAAATTTGTAAAAGTTACTGATCATTTGTATAATTCAATGTGAAAAAAAATGAAAGAGAATTATAATGATATGATTTGCAGTAATTTAAACAATTTGGCTTCAGCTGAATAATATTTTCTTCGATAATGATATATTAAATATTAATGAAATGTTTGATTTTATCAAATACCATTCTTAAAAATAACTTGCAACTTGTCTGTTAGAAGATCGACTGTGTATGTAAAATAGATTAATAATTATTTAATATTATTATTAATTTCTTTTAGAATTGTAATAGGTTAAAGTACTCTTTATACTCTAAATTTATTTATGATAAAATATTAATACTTAATAAAAAAATTATTTTATTTGGTCCCATTTTATTTCATCACATTTAATCACATTTTATTCACCGTTAACATGTCCAATCAGAAATTAACATAATGATTGCTTTGCCTTCGAAATAGTTACATATTGTGATAATATTATTTTTCTAATTATAAAAAATAATATTTAATGATACTAAAACTCTGGCTTCATTCTAATTCATTCTCTCACATCGTCAAATCAATATCTTCTAGGGCAATGATATTTGAGGGTTTTATGTTAAAAAAAATATATAAAAAACTTAATTATAAGCATTACAAAAATTAAAAGAATAAATTTAAACAAAATGTACTAATTTATTTTCTTTCAATAAATTTTAATTTTTTATACACATTTTTATTAGTCAATATAGTAAACTAATTAATAAAGTTATTTAAATCAAGATAATTAAGGTCATTAATATATTTTATTTTAGACATTTTACGATAAGCTTTTAAACTTTTATTTATAATCAATTTAAATATTATATATATAAAAGTAAAATTGAATATATCTATATAATATGTTATACATTTATAGCAAAAATTATAATTATTACTTTTGAACTGTATTTAAGAAAAAAAATTATTAAAATTGATTATACATAAAAATTTTACTTTTATGACATGATATTAAAAATGAAAATATAATATTTTTCATGAATTTCATTTAATAATTTTTTTTAGCTTTTCCACTAATTTCATATAACTAAATACTAATTTCTTAAGAGCCATAATTTATAAGACCCAAATGAAAAAGTAAGACGATAGAGGTGACCGCAACCAAAAGATATGTGATGTCGATGATGACGTTGAATGATAAAAGAAAAAAGAAAAAAAAAAGAGCCCTATTGCAATATAACTAATTACGAGATTAAGAGTTAGATTAAATAAGGTTAAGAATTAAAAATAAATTTAATCATGTTATAATTTAATAAAACTAGGCCTTAAATTCTAATTCTAAATTCATATCCCAACTCTATCTAAATTCCAAACACAAACAGGAATACGAAAAAAGTGTAACACCAAAATTGAAAAAGAAAACCTACTAATAATTAATAAATATTATAAAGGCATTTAATTAAGGATTTTTAAAATTTACTTCAAATTACATTACTAATATTAAAAATTAAACAATTTTACTATTATTTTTTTAATTTTAAATCACGAGCACTCGTTAACACGTCAATCTAAAAGACCTACACATTCTAAATTTATTTGGTAAGATGATAGACCAAAATCAAAACTATGTTTAGCATTGATAACCATTACAGTAGATATAGAAGCACAGGAAGGAATATATAATTAATATCACTAACTTTTATTGTGAATACTGAATACACCTATGGATACAAATGAAGCAATCACCTGAAATAAACGAGGTAAAAACTGAACTAGCTCTACAATTGGTTTACAGTCCATGGATAGATCAAGGGAAAATTGACAGAAGAAAGCGCATTTCCTGTAACTTTACCTAATCTTCTATGGCATGACATAGCCGGCATTGTCCAACAAAAGATCAATCAGTGTTTCGTAAACATCCCTTGCGTTAAGGAGGAAAAATCATAATCCTTTGCAGACTGTGAAGTGGTTGATGTCACTGGAGCTGCTGACTGAGGTTTACTCACTCCCGTTGTCATCATCCCATTAACTGAAGCAACTTGCCCCATAGCATAGAAACTGCGTCAAATGTCGACACACAAATAAGAGCAAGGTTATTGACAGTAAATAAATGCACTAAATGAGGTATAAGATACAAGGACATAAAGAAAAGAATAAGGGGAACCAATAGTGAATAAATGTTTATGTTTACTTCGATGAACAAAGACATTTGAAGATAATGCGTAAAATCAATATAGATGACTTCAAACATGAAATACTATAAGACGTTTGTAAAGTGGTCTGTAGATTGGTGCACACTTAGGTAGAATATCTTGAGCAAAAGTTGCCATTATCCAGGTAAATTCCAGTAAAGTTCTAGAAACAAAATAAAATTCAATTGGTGAGCCATTCCAGGATGGGATAGCTCATTCAAAATTAAATTCAGAGCACCACATACAGCAGCATAACTTAATTGCATTTGATTTAAGTGATTAATTTTTCAAAGCTAAGGGCACAACCCTTAATTATGAAATAAAGATTATAGATGAACAGAAGATCCATCTCAACCCAGTCTTAAGCTTTGTTTGAGTTAATTTTTTGAGGAAAAGGGAGAGAAGAAGAAGCCTTATTTAGTAATAAACCCTTATTTGGGAGTTTTTAGATGAAAGGAGAAAGTTTTATAAATCCTCCAAACCTCTCCCCCCCCTCCTCCCTCCCTCCCTCCCTCCCCTCCCTCTAATAACATGTTCTTAAGTTCCCCCAATTTGGAGGATTTAAATTAACCCGCCTTTCTCCTACTTTCTCCCTTATCCTTTAAACTCTCTCATTTCTTTCCCCTTCAAACTCTCAAACAAAGCCTTAGTGGTTGAAATGGAAACAAAAGCCCCAAATTAGCCTTCCGGTTGAACAGTCTACAAGTAACTCTAATTTGTTTTGGCTTATGGAACCAAAGTTAATTGGAACCAATATCAACCTAGGCATATAAAGAAATCTATGGATCAAAAACATCATGTAATATTGAAGTCAAATTCCTATAAGTTATCCAAAATGAGATTAATTTGGCTTTAAGCACACAAACTAATGATTAATGAAATACCCGGATGGTGGATATTGAATAGAGCTCCCTGCCAGATGTGCTGGGGTCATGTTGCTAGCCTGACCCAGAAAGAAGAAGAGAAACAAGTTAGCTGCTGGATACATAAAAACACATCATTCATCAATACATTTGGCTTGCTTGAGTCATTACCTGCATAAGTTTCTGCAGCTCTCCCTGACCACCCATGGGCATTAATCCAGAAACTGAGTAGCCAGTAGCTGGCCAACTTTGGACAGAACCATTGGGTCTAGGTTGTTGTATGCTAGCAGGATACCTGGGATCCCCACCAGCAGATTTAGCTGCAGCAGCCATTAGAAGAGACTGTTGCTGTGCTAGCATGGCAAGCTGCTGTTGATGCATAGTAAATGGAGAAACCATATTGCCCTGAAGACACCCAATTCACTGGTCAGGTAAAAGCATAACAATACCAAAAGCAAACAAGCATCTGATTACAGAGTGCAAATGTGCAGCTAAAAAATTCTGGTTGCAGTACTGTCTTGGATAACAACTTACACATAGGACAAGATGGAAACAAATGTTCAAATAAGAATAGAAGAATTTATCTATTCAATAAATAAACTAGCATATCAAGTCAAAGCAGTAACTCCATAATCTTACAGAAAGCTACAGAAGCATTGGCTAGTACCTTCTCAAAGAGGCTCATGATATCATTTTTAACATCTTTCTGTGGTTTTTCTGGAGCTAAGCTTGCTGTCACACAAGATGAATCTTTGAAAAGATCCTCAATCCCAGAAGCAGAATGTGGAGTACTATCGACTGCTTTCAGTGGACTAGTCTTCTCAGCTGTTGACACCTCTGCAGCAGCTGAAACAGTTATAGCAACAAAATTACAACCTAAGTTCTACCCAACATAATCAATTAAAGCCACTTCAAATCTTCCAAAACAAAATGCTTAGCAACACTTTCTATTGACTTTCCATAGTGTCTTTATTTTTTATTCTCAAAGGACACAAACATACACTGAAAACCTGCCCAGTGATTATCCTCAGCAGTAGTACCAGATGCTTCTGAGCCATTTTCAGTTGGGCCATCCATAGACAACATGTTGAAAAGGTCTGTAGCATAGTCAACTTTTGGAGGGGTATTTTGAGCTGTGTCTGTAGCCTTCTTTGAGGTTTCAGTTTGTAGTTGTGGTGCTACTGGTTCCACTTTCTCAACATGCACAGGTTTGGTGACAGGAGTTACCTGTTCACAAATTGGTTATTTCATACGACAATAAACAATAACAATTTCCAAATGTAAAGAAGAACCGAGTGTTTTCCTCTTTTCAATAAAGGGGACTCATCTATGTTAATTGCTCAAACAGTATAATTACAGGTTATTTCAAGTATGCAAAATTTATTCTATAACCGTAGCAACCCATGAACCTGAACCTGATTGCAGAATAACAGACATAAAAACTGCAATACCAGTACTACATGCAATGCAACATAATATGTCAAAAAACAGCAGAAAAAGAAAAGGTTCACAAAATAGTAATAAAATAAAGAGATGAAAAGGAATACCTGTTCAGGTGCTCTGGGAGGAGCAGGAACACTAACTCTTGGAGCAGGAATTGCATTTGATGGTTGGATTTTCTTCCTTTCTTCAAAAGCATTCTCAGAAACAGTAGCATAACCACTTCTCTCCACAGGCCTCTGCCAATGTGCTGGACTTTTCTCTTCCCGCAATCCTGAAGGTGTTTTAGAATTCCCATCTCGTGGAACCCATCTCTTCTCGTCATACCTTCAAATATACACCATGATTGAAAGCAGGTGCACAAAATGCATACACTTCAAATAGTACCAAGATGAAAATTTAGCAAGATTCAAGGAGTTTTCATCAAACATACTTTGCACGAATAAAATTCTCAATTCCAACTCTATCGTAATTTGGAGGTAATTCTGCTTCCCAGTAACTATTTGCTTTCTCATTGCCCATTGCTGTATAGAACCCAGACAAGAAATTCAAATATAAGAAGTTGTTATGTAACTAATGCACATCACCAAATTTCAAAACAACCACAAACTTATGTTATAGATTTGCTTACATTGAATGAATGCAACTTGCTCTGGAAGCCAAGTGTCCAGGGTTGCAGAACGAACCTGCAAGGAAAATCATTAAGTAAATAATATAAGATTGGCGTAAGCAATTGGATTTTAAGAAAGTCTTTAGTTACTCCAAAAATCCTACATTCAGAACAGAGGAGGCATATCTCAGCCATTCCCACATCAAATTGAGTCACTACCATTACATGATTTTACATGGAAAAGTAACAAAATCATATTGAAAAACTATCCCAACCAAAGAAGTTGTTTATCAGCCTAGCACTTTTCAGAGTAAAAAATTAATCTTCATAAACACTGCCAGAGCAAAAATAATAATAATATTAATAATAGTCCTACTGAGCATTAACAAATAAATGCCCTAAAGCAGCACTACTCACCTATAAATATTGAACTCAACAATAACAAAGGTCTCTTCCCACTTGGTGAGATTGTCTATAAGTAAATAAAATGAAAAAAATCCCAATTTCTGGTTAAGGGAGGAATTATTGATAATACTCGATTAACATGATTAGGACATGTGACAGGAAGATCATTGGAAACACCAATGAGAAAAGTGAATGATATGACTTTTAGTCCAACAAAAAGGAGTAGAGAGAGACCTAAAAAAATTTTAGAAGAAATTATTAAAAGAGATTTAGTGATAAATAACATTTCAGATAATTTAATTTTTTGCTAAGTTAAATGGCGTTATGTGATCTATGTAGCCAATCTCATCTAGTGAGATAAGACTTGATTGTTGATGTTGTACTCATTTAGAAACCATTTGTTTGTAGCAAGGGTGTTAGATAAGTGTACAATAATTGCAGTATTTCTCAAAATGAATCATGACGTACAAAGAATAAATTAGGCCTATATACATATATATGATAAGCAAATAATTTATTAAGGAGAAAAGAAGATACAAGAAGATGAAGACCCTATTTCCACAAGCCACCATAATATTCATTCTTCCTCTCATGACTTTTTTCTGATATATCTAACCAAAACCATTTTAGTATCATCGTTATAAGAGAAACCACAGATCTCAACCACTTGTATTACTTGTAATATTCACAGTTAAACAAACTTGCCATACCAAGGAACATAACATTCACCTTTGATATATGTACCCCCAAACTTCGATGTATTCCTGAACACTGCATGCATATAAAGATGCCAAGATTTACACTAGCCCATCTTGGACCCCTACAAAGTGAAAAGTAAATTACTACAAACAGTTGACTGAACATTGGGAACGTCTAATAAATAATGACAATAATATATCCAGAAAAGCATAATCCATAGACAATCCACATTTCATTAACCAATTAGTATCTCTTTACATGATTACTACTGACACAAGATCCAGATAGGATCATTCAGATACAGCCAGATACATACTTAGCTTTGCAGTCAGCACATTCCCTATTCTCTGGTAATTTAAGAAGTCCTTCCAGTATCTGCATATTTAGAGTAAAGAAAGAAAAAAATGTAAGGATAAAAGACAATAAAAAAAATGTAACAAGTTTCAAACAAACACATTCACACGAGTAGAAAAAACTATTAGAGATATAAGACATACTTTACTCACAAAACAAACAAACATCACACTAGTCAAGGGAAACTCCTCCCCAATCAATTGAACTTGATCCATCTTCACATATGGAAAACCAACTTGGGAAACATTTTAACATTTGACATACAAATTAAGTTTACTTCCTTCTTCCTTAAAAATTGAATAAAACAGCATAACTTTGAAAAAAAACCGAATAATGTTCCCACAATGTCTTTTCCGCTGTCATGATCAATGTATAACAGCACTCAAGTCCACCTCTTCACTCATCACTGGTTATATCCTATTAAAAATTACAAATTCACAATTACTCAAAACAAAAAACTAAAAATACTTAAAAACAAAAAAGAAAGAAACTTTGTACTATTCTGGAAAATAAGGACAGAGAATTTAAAGAATCGCGTCAGCAAAACTTCCAATGGCTTCACAGTCTCTCACTGAGCATGCTAAATTGCAAATAGCACCAACACACTTCCAAAAGGTGACTAAGCGAAAGGATCCAAACAATCAAAACACAATATCCGATTGATTAATCCACAAAAATGCCGAAACACGGAAGATCGATCAAGCTACCATCCGTCAGTAAATGAACACCATAACAAGCAGATCAAAACAGCGCTAATCATGCCACACACATTCGCATTAACAGAAAAGTCGAAACTTTTCGCGTTCAAAATCTCGCGACATAAATTAACGGAACAGTGATAGAGTCAAATCCAAAAACTAACGATTAACGAATCAAGGTAATTAGCGAATATAAGATTGGCAAATCGAAAGTGAAATAAGCAAGGAAGAGAAACCTTCTTGTGCTTGGCGTTGAGCTCCTTCGAAACGTTGGCTTTCCCGTTCATGATGGAAGCTTCTAGAAGACTAACAGAAACGAATCGGAGAGGGAGTTAACAGAAGCGAAGCGAGAGAGAGGAAGAAGAAGATCCGAGGTCAATTTGGTATTTTTAAGCTCTTCTCCTTTCAATATCTCTCTCTCACTATACTTCTCGTCCCCGAATAACCAAAAAAGTGAAAAAACGTGCAATGGAAACGCCCTCCCTCCTTGACTTTTATTACCTGCGTTTTCCCTATATTTTCTCGCGTTTGCTTTTTGGCCCACGCGCTTCTACCATAGTTTTGATTTTGATGTGCCATACCTGTACATCTATTTATTTATATTTGTGTTTTGGTTATTATAACATTTATTTCGTGATTTAATGATATGGTAATTATTTGCTATTATAGAGGGTGAAGTTGAACGCCCCTTCATTTACTTCAAAATGCAAAAGTTTTTGTTGTCACCCATTTGGAATGAATCAGAAGTGAGGGAACAAAAATTTCAATTTTCACTAGTAAATAAAGATTATTTTAAATATAATTTAAGTGCAATATTGTAATTCTTGTATCAGGCAATCTGTTTCGTTTTAAGTCTCTCCCTGCTCTCTAAATTATGTAAGTTTATTCGATGTTCCAAGTGTCAATAAAACAAAGACATGAAACTATAATTGTGCGCAGGAAGATACAATGTCTTTACGGAACCAGCAAAACAATAACAAGCATAAAATTTGTCTTATACAAAAATTATATTTTAGTTTAAGAGACTACATGGATAATTTGATCAATCTGGATTGCATTAGGTAACTACGTTTTGAGAAATTTAAACTTTGATAAGTTTTAACAATTTAAAAATGAATAAGTGAATCTTCACATTAAAAATGAATTACGCGGCTGTTGATTTTATTCTAGATTTTATGTTCATGTGCTATTTCAATTTAATTGTAATTTTGTTTTTCAAAACTACCAAACATGTCCAATAATTACAACTTTCATAAATTTTTCAATTTTTTAAAAACTGAATTTAAGCATCTAAATAGTTTATTCTTTAATATAAAAAATATAGCACCTGTAATGCTTTTTTTTTTATAAAAAAATTATGCTCTAAATATAGAATTTATAACACCATTTTAATTAATTGTAATTTTATTATTTAAAACTATCAAATATGTTTTAATGATTACAAATTCCATAATTTTTTAAATTTTTTTAATACAATTTTTAGAATTAAATTTAAGCATCTAAAATAATTATTTTTAAAATAAAAAATATAACATTTATCACACTATTTTTATTCTTACGGTAATAAATACTTTTTTAATAAAAAAATTGTTTTTATTGGCTTATCCTCTTCTATAAGGCTAAACATTTTCTTAAAAATTTTAGCGGAAAAAACGTTTTGTGCCAAATGTAAATTATTGCCATGTTGCTGGTAATACTAATTTATTACAATTTTCATTTATATTAATATCAAGACAGAATAATAAAATAAATATTCAATAAAAATCAATTATGGTTCAAAATTAAGGGAGGAAAGATATAATAATATGTTATCACAATTTCTGAATTATAGAAAACAAAATTATTTGGTCTAATGCATCGCCCCACATCGCATGCTTGTGTCTTCCGTTAGACAATCTAAAATTGGACGTCACTAGATTGACATAATTTATTTGTTTGAAGAATATTATAGGAAAAAGGAGATGGGAGTGACCTAATTTTGCACAGGTGTAGACAATGGACCATAGTATGACAGGTAATGGCGCACAAATATTAGCATTTATTGTCATTGCCAAATCATATTTTAAGGGTTTTATTCCCTTTTTCTCCAATGTCAACTCTCATAAGAATACGAGACGAGTCACTATCGGCTTTTGGTGTAATGGAACTATTGAAGATGATCAAACACAAGAAAAAATCACATTAAAGATTTTATATACCGTAATCTACATACTTGAACTAAAAAGTACTTGACGACATAAAGAAAGTTAACTTAGAGACTATAAATTTGGATCATAAGTATTTTTAATTCAAAAACATATTAAAAGCACTTATAATATCACAGAGAAAATACGTTTTCCCCCATATTAAAACACAAGCTGAGTTCAACACAATTTCATTACCATGTGAGCCTAATTTTCTAGCTTTCAGACTCAGAGGAATGGGTTCATATAATTTAAGTTGTATCTGTCTAGCAGCTGAATGCCTTGGATGAAGCTATCTCTTGCACCCAGCTCTATAATTCTACATAAATATTATGAATGAAGTTGAATATGTAAGGCAATTCTGGTGGAGATATTAATTACATGTTTTGAAACATTGAATTGAGAAGGAGGAGTCAAGAGACCAAACCTTGCTTATTTCATGGACAGATGCTCCATGCATTGTGCTCATGGATGAAGGGTAAGGGCACCCCAGAAAAGATATGTATCTATTAGTCCACCTAATAATAAGTGGGATGGGATTAAAGTCACTGAAGAATGTGACATCCATTTGGTTGGCTTCTCTTGGCGTGATCGGCGTTCTTTGTTTTTATTTGTACAAGTAAATTGGAAAGAATCCAATATATTAATATTCAATTCAGTTAACCAGTCTTAATCATTGGACAATATGCTACTTGATTGCTTTCTTTTATAGGGATGGAACCAATGTTTAGGTATTGCTAAATGCTAATCAAGTTTTCATAATTGGTTTCCATCATTCCTCACTCTAATCATTTAACTAAATTATTTTAATCATAGAAATGAAAGAAGCTTAATAATTTCGGGCACTCTTTCTTTATTTTCCCTTTTAATTTTACGTGTTTGTTTATACTACTTTTTTGTATCCCTGTTAATTTAACAAGAATCAGGACATTATACATAGTTTACATTTAGATAAGTAAACACACGTTTTGATTTAAATGGGAATATCATTGAACAGAATCGAAACATTAGATAAAGATTTGTCGAATTGAGCTATTAGTGTGCTGCTATGTTAGAACTCTCACGAACAAAGTTGTTAGTTTGAGACAGTTTGGATTACACCATCTGCCCATAAATTAATGAACTTTAAAGCCACTCGATTATGGGTCTTTTGTTTTTTTTTAAAACTAGATTATATGATTTCTTTTTAAAAACAAACTAATGATAACAATGAGGTTTAAAACAACTTGTATGAATTATTCAAACTACTTGCCACTATTGTAATCCTAGTGACCTAACTTGATTATATGTTGAATATGCTTTTCAGTACCTTTTGTATCACTTTCATAACTCCATTTATGCACATCTTAATGTAAGTGAAAAGGCACAAATTTTCAATTTTGGTGAAACGAATTTGAAATGCTATCACATCAGTCCTAAGTTTATGCTGGAATTGCAGGCCCTAAGACTGTAGTGGAATCTACCCCGGTACCCCCTTCGATTACTTGTAAGATACTAAGCTGAGTTATAAAAGTGAAGAATTTAAATTATTCTTTTATACTATCTAAATTAAAATAAAAAAATAATTTCTTCAATCTACATTGTTAAATACTTTTAACTTTTAAATGTTTTAGAGTAATATTTCTTAATTATTTTATGTTAAAATTTATTTTTGTCCGTATTTTAATTGCTTATTTTGTCAAATTAATCCTTTTTAAAATTTTCTATTCCATTTAAATATATTCCTTTTCCTTAAAATTTAATCACTAATATGAATTTTTCTATTTATTTAAATTAATTACATATTTTTAAATTTATATTTTTAAAATTTATCTAAATTTTAAAATATATTTTAGGATAGCATACATTCTTTTAGGACTGTGGATGAAGTTTATTATATTAACCGCTTGCCAACTAAATTAACTACTTATTCATATATCATTCAATACGATTGAACATCGAGTGTAAAGTCCATGATACAATTAACGACTTATCTAGCTAAAGGTCATTTGATTGAGATTTTTTTTCATTTTTATTTTTAATTATAAAAAACATTACCTTATTTTTTTTCTATTTTCAGATATTTATAGAAAATATTGAAACAATTAATTATTTTTATATAAATATTTAAAAATAAAAATAAAGTAAAAAATTTTTAATTTAAAATCTAAATAAAAAAGTAACAACAAAAAGTATTTCCTCAGGTTAAAAAACCCCTGAATTAATTATACTCCTTCCACTTAGAGGTATTAATATAATGTATTTAATCACTTTTTTTGGGTTCAAGATTTCATTTAATCATTGGAAGGGCTTTGAAATTAATCCATAACGTAAGTAAATGGTGATGCATGGTCAAAGAGTGCAACGTTTCACTTGGGAGTATCAGATTAAATTGTTACTCTACCAGTCCAGTTTTTGCTTTTGATAAATTTCCACGTCAGACTAGTCAAAATTTATTGAACCGTTGACCAGCCCAAACAAGTCTTAGTAAAATTTTAAAAAAGAAATAAAAAGGCTACTTGCAGGATTAACTCAAACACGATACATGGATGTATGTATTTGAATATGAGATAAAAGTAAACAGAGAAAAAATATTTAAACATAAAAATAATACACTCATATTTAAAAAAATAAAATTATACTTTAATAAGTATATTATTTATTTTCTTGTATTAAATTATTATCATTATACTACCAAATATGTATATCAATTAGGAAAAGTTATTCTAAGTTTTCATGTGATTTCGAGTTTATTGATTTATAGTAAAATGATCGAAAACTTGTACTACAACTTCTTATATAGATAAGGTGAAATTAAATTCAACAATTACTGATATTTAGACATATGATACATGAAAATAGATTTTCTCTTATTTACACAAAAATTAGACGGTCTAGTTCTATTTTAAATAAAAATAATGTCTTTCAGTCTCCTTATTTTTCTAATCTTCCTCACCTCCCTCCCACTTAAATCTAATAATTACCAGTATTTAGGCATATGAAGTATGAAAATAAAACAAATGGACGATTTAATTTTATTTTTAGTTATTAAATGAAAATTAAAACTTTTACTCTTGCTCTTTTCCCAGTCCCCTCCTGCTCTCCGCATCAAATTGTACTATCAATTTACTAACACATAATGCTGGCCCTGTATTGTGTGTCGAATTCATATATGTTAGAACAAAACACGTAATGAAGTGGGATGAATATTGAGCAACACTGCCTTGAATGGATATCCCCTAATCAAACACAGGGGAAGTCCAATGTACATGATACAGGAAAATTAGATTAGCAAGTTGTAATCGGGTGAATTAACAGTAGTTAGTT